TTGCTAAAGATTATATCACAGAGAAGCTGTGGAGGAATGCTTACCAAGGCGGGGCAGTACCTGTCGTCTTGGGGCCACCAATCAGTGATTACAAAGATGTGGCTCCACCCAACTCTTTCATCCATGTTGATGAATTTGCATCAGTGCGTGATTTGAGAAAGTTTCTACAGGAGCTGGCAAAGGACAAGAAAAGCTACGCTGAATATTTTTCTTGGAAAAAACAGTGGAAAGTGAAAATGTTCTCAGACTGGAGGGAAAAACTGTGTAAGATCTGCACAAAGTACAACAGTTTACCTCAGCACAAGGTTTACTCAGATCTACAGTCCTGGGACAAGAATAATAACACAACTTCCATTGGCAAATTGTGAATTTTACCACATTTCTCCCATGTGCACGCCATGTTTTAATTTTCTGTGTCAGTCGCAATTTTTTTTCATTATTGCATAATTTGTGATGCATTTTTCATGTTGCTATCCCAACAAAAAAAATGTGAAAAAAATTAACAGATTGACAGAAAATAGATGAAATGGTCATAGAAAATTAGGGACAAAGCCATTTTTATTGCAGAAAATCTAGTGAATCACATTCCTGAGACTCAGGAAACTTTGTCCAAGAACAGTGTGGAAACTATTCACCGATCAGCCATAACATTATGACCACCTGCCTAATACTGTTTATATAGGAGTCAATGTGGCAGCTGGTTGGCACTCATATCACTCTGCAGCTCACTGTGCATCTTCTGTGAATCCATTTGCTTCTACAGTTTTGTCAGGAAGAGCGCAGATGTGTCCACAATTCAGTGAAAAACTTGTGTAAAAGGAGTGAAAACTGGTTGTGAGGACAAGTTAGAGATCATTTTTTTAGACAAATTCAACAGCCTCACCACTCTAGGTGTGATACCACCACTACAGCCCCTGACTCCTTCTCTTCATAGAGACCAATGTACAATATTTCTCATTTTTAACCATTTTAACAAAGTTTCAAATAAATTTGAATCTTTTGAAAAGTACAAATGGAAGTTAAGTTTAATCTACAGTAGGTCAGTCTCATCATCAGTGACACGTGGGCGTCTATGACCTTGTCGCCAGTATTTGTCCTTCCTTAGACACTGTTGGTAGGTACTAACCACTGCAGACCAAGAACATCCACCATGACCTGCAGTGTGGGAGATGCTCTGACCCAGTCATCTCACCATTTTGGCCCTCGTCAAAGTCACTCAGATCCTTACACTTGCCCGTTTTTCCTGTTTCCAACACACTTGCTGCCTAATAGACCCCACACACTGACAGGTGCCACTGAAACAGATAGTGTTATTCACTTCACCTGCCTGTGGTCATAATGTTTTGCCTGATTGTGTGTGTGTACACAAATAGCCAGCACAATTACCATGCTTTAACCACTTCATACAAGACCAAGGGCCACTGAGGCAAGTCCCTATCACTTCATATAAAACACTTGACCCACAGGGTCCAAAAACCTACTGTACGTAAAATAAAAGTAACATGCCTCCTTTAGGCCAAAGAAGCTATTACTTCAGTTTCTCATCCTGGAATTGGCACAGATTGGCCACCACAATTAGTACCTCATAACACTGGCCTGGTGGAGCACTAGAGATGCACAAAACAGAAATGACTTTTGGTGGGACATACAAAAATTTATTGGAGGGGATTCAGAAGTTTACATATTCAAAAGTTTCAAATAAAGTTATTCTTGATGCAGAGATACAATAGGTTTGGGGTGTTTTGAGTGGTAACAGCTTAGTGTAGCTAACATTTCAATAAATTACAATTCATCTACAGCCTGTTGAAAAAA